TGGAGCATATCTCTGAAAAAGTCTTTGAAATATCAACATGAAACTTTATAGGTGGATAGATCTTATTGGGGAGGAATGTTGTGCGCAAGAATAATACCCTTTATATTTTGTTAGTTATTGCCATTTGTTATTAGTCCCCTACCGGTTTACCGGAGGGGACTTTAGGTTTACCCTCCGTCCGTCTGTCCGTCTGTCTGTCTGTCCGTCCGTCAGTCCGCCCGTCCATCTGTCCGTCCGTCAGTCCGTCCGTCCACAAAACTGGATCCCGCGATAACGCAAAAAGTACTGAAAATATTTTAATGAAACTTGATACATGTATATGGATAGATGGCAGTATGGAGATTATGCACGTCTTTTTCTTTTCTTCCTATGTTGAAAATTCAGGTTGCTATGGCAACAAATAGACTGAAAATATGACAAATTTTACACATAAACTGGATCCCGCGATAACGCAAAATGTACTGAAAATATTTTTATGAAACTTGATATATGGATAGATGGCAGTATGGAGATTATACACGTCTTTTTCTTTTCTTCCTATGTTGAAAATTCTGGTTGCTATGGCAACAAATAGACTGAAAATATGGCAAATTTTACACATAACCTGGATCCAGTGATAACACAAAAAGTACTGAAAATATGTTTATAAATGAAACTTGACATATGGGTAGATGGCAGTATGGAAATTATGCACATCCTTTTCTTATCTTTCTATGTTGAAAATTCTGGTTGCTATGGCAACAAATAGACTGAATTTCAAGATTTCTTATTCTAGTTTTTAAGTTTTTTCACTATAAGTTCTTTATTTCTTAAGGTATTTTCTTCAAACTTTAAATATAAGTTGCTTGTCATCAACCACATCATATGTGACAAGGTTTACAACTCTAGTACAAAATTTATCAGAATTACCTCCCTTGAACTTAAAATTTTCATGAAAAAAAACATTGTTTTTTTAATAACTTCTTTTTCTGAATGTATCTACTTCAAACTTCATATAAATGTTTCTTATTGTCACTCAACATTTGTGAGTGTTCAATACTCTAGCAAGACTATTTCCAGAATTATGTCCCTTTTGAACTTGACTTTTTTTTTGAGAAATTGGTATTTTTTACTCCAACTTCTTCAATCATGATAGGATTTTAAAAATGTTATATTTTGATAACAGGGATGTTTAAAAAATAACTTTAGAGTGTCCTTCAGTCCGTCTGTCTGTACATAAAAACTGTTTCCTGTGATCACTTTTAAAGAACCTTTTCAACAAATTTACTTAAAATAGGAACCTAAGTGAATGGCCCTTCAGAATGTTGCTTGGGCTCTTACCGGTAGGGGACTTATGGATTGCTTGCAATACTATGATAATTGCTTGTTTTTCATACTTTTTGTCCGGAGCTTATCTCAATTATTATTAATTGAGCCTTGATTTTAAACTAAATGTGTCTGTATTTCTTACCATCCTTTACTGGATTTAGATTATCATTATTGTTTAATAGGTTTACTAAATTAATGTTGTTCATTATGTCTTATAGAGGATATTGAATGAGTGTAAGTTCAATACTGAATTTATTGCACGAGTTGAATAAAATTATATTATGCGAGCCTCTGGCGAGCATAATATTATTTTATTCAACGAGTGCAATAAATTCAGAAATGAGCTTACACGAATTTAATATTCTATTTATCACATACCCAAAATAAATACAGTTTAAAGTGAAATAAGAGTCATTTTTCATTGACGCGCAATTAGTATAACGCCAACATTTAGCGCGTCTTTACACTATGTTTGTATAACGCTAATGACGTCACGTCAAAATATATGCACGGCCGTGCAATACCATATTTACGGAGTCGCAAAATCGGCACGGGTGTGTGATAAATAGAGGATATTGAATGAGTGTAAGTTCATTACTGAATTTATTGCACGAGTTGAATAAAATTATATTATGCGAGCCTCTGGCGAGCATAATATTATTTTATTCAAAGAGTGCAATAAATTCAGTAATCAACTTACACGAATTTAATATTCTATTTATCACATACCCAAAATAAAGACCATTTAAAGTGAAATAAGAGTCATTTTTCATTGACGCGCCTATAGTATAACGCTAACATTTAGCGCGTCTTTACACTATGTTTGTATAACGCTAATGGCGTCACGTCAAAATATATGCACGGCCGTGCAATACCACATTTACGGAGTCGCAAAATAGGCACGGGTGTTTGATAAATAGAGGATATTGAATGAGTGTAAGTTCAATACTGAATTTATTGCACGAGTTGAATAAAATTATATTATGCGAGCCTCTGGCGAGCATAATATTTTTTTATTCAACGAGTGCAATAAATTCAGTAATGAACTTACACGAATTTAATATTCTATTTATCACATACCAAAAACCGTTTAAAGTTAAATAAGAGTCATTTTCCGTTTATGCGCCTACAGTTGAACGCTTACATTTAGCGCGTCTTTACACTATGTTTACATAACGCTAATGACGTCACGTCAAAATATATATGCACGGCCGTGCAATACCATATTTACGGAGTCGCAAAATCGGCACGGGTGTGTGATAAATATATATATGATTATGTTTTATCGGATTTATGTAAAAACTCTTGAACATTTATTATTTATGAAAAGAGTGCTATAGAAATGTGGTAAATATAATAATAATAATAATAATAATAATAATAATAATAATCTCAAAAAGGTGTTAGAGGTATCAACTTGAAACTTATTAGGTGGATAGATCTCATTGAGGAGGAGTGCAGCACACAAGACATTTTACCTACTGTCACAGATTTATATTACAAATCCGTGCTACTGTGCATTATTTTTCAGTTATTGCCCTTTGTTATTTTTCATACTTAATTTTGTCGAAAGCATAACTATAAAGGCCTTTGAGATATCAACATGAACCTTCATAGGTGGATAAATCTCACTCGAGAGGTATGCAGTACACAAGAATGATAATGATTCTGCTCTATTACATATAAACATGGCTCTTGTAACAAGTTACATGATTATGATATTTTAAAACCTTCATAACAAGTTAACATGTCAATTCAAAACAATGCTATTATGAGATACCTTATCAATATATTTAACTGGTTCTTTTTTGTTTTTTTTTTTTTTTTTTGGGGGTTGGTTTTTTTTTTTTTTTGGTTTTTTTCGTCGTGACAATCATATTTACGGAAGAGCATTAGTGCCAGGTGTATGTTTTTTATTAACTCGAAATTTCGAGTTACTAACTCGAAATTTCGACTTACTAACTCGAAATTTCGACTTACTAACTCGAAATTTCGACTTACTAACTCGAAATTTCGAGTTACTTATCTCGAAATTTCGAGTTACTAACTCGAAATTTCGAGTTACTAACTCGAAATTTCGACTTACTAACTCGAAATTTCGACATACTAACTCGAAATTTCGAGTTACTTAACTCGAAATTTCGACTTATTAACTCGAAATTTCGACTTACTAACTCGAAATTTCGACTTACATTGCACGACTTTCATTGGTTGCCGGTGAAAGCAAGGATTGAATTCAAGATACTTTCTTTCGTGTGTAGCTGTTGCACATTGACAGAGCACCTTTAACATTTATTTAACAGAACAATTTTATAGGGTCAAATTGTCCACACATACTGAAACATATCCTTCGCTTTTTTGTTTGGAGGGGGGGGGGGGGTGGGTGTAAAATCACACTTTCCACATTTCTGTGTTAACCGGGTGTTTCTTTTTCTTAAGCACACATACAACCATCATGTGGAGAAACAACAAGTCCAAAACCCACCCTATTGTAAACTGTGCAATATCATGTGTTAAATAAGTTTTAATTGGCGTGTATACATACGCCAGTTAGTCTGTCACGTTTCTTTATATACTAATAATGTTTTTGTAACATTATTCATTATTTACTAATACTTTGATATTGTGTTGATAAAAGTTGATAAAAGTGATACTTGTTGTTATATATATGTTGGGAATAATATAAAAGCATCCGATTTTACAAGAAATATAGTCAGTCCAACAATTTTGACAAAGACCTCAGCACGCCCTATTTTGGCCACGCCGCGATACTTTCCTCAGATGTCCCACACGTGAAGTATAGGATCGGTTTTTTTACAGGGATGAGAAGAATATGATTAGTGAAAAGATATGTTCGAACAGATTGGATACAATACAACGTCTGAAGAACGCCTGAACGTACAAATTAAAGGAAGCCTTGTTTTTTTAGGTCTGGTGTGTACATGCCATTACTAAGTTTAAGTTAAATTTCAATAGTTTTTGTCCAGGCACCCGTTTCTCCATCTCCATCGTTCAAAGGCACTGCCTACTATATCTTATACCATCTAACTAATAACTTTGGCCATTCTTGTAATGTTAATAAGTCGAAATTTCGAGTTACTAAGTCGAAATTTCGAGATAAGTAACTCGAAATTTCGAGTTAGTAAGTCGAAATTTCGAGTTACTAAGTCGAAATTTCGAGTTAGTAAGTCGAAATTTCGAGTTAGTAACTCGAAATTTCGAGATAAGTAACTCGAAATTTCGAGTTAGTAAGTCGAAATTTCGAGTTAGTAACTCGAAATTTCGAGATAAGTAAGTCGAAATTTCGAGTTAGTAACTCGAAATTTCGAGTTAATAAAAAACATACACCTGGCACTAATGCTCTTCCGTACATATTGCTGCATTTCCCAGCAATTTTTTACTTGTTTTTTAAAAGTGCTCGCTGTAGAAAAGGATAAAGCTGGAACATACGATACGTACATCCCAGGATAAAGTGATGCAGACTTGCTCACAGAGTGGATTTCGAGACTGAAAAATCATTTCAACACTTTGAAGGAGGAAAATCCGGAGTTCAACGGAAAAGACCGAGAAGACGCGAATCTGCAATCGCAAACTTTTCGTCCCTTTCCGTCACATTCGGAACTGCCTCGGCTATTATCTATGTCCTTATCCGAAGACTGACGGAAAGGGCCGAGTAGTTGCGATTGGTGTGGCGTGTCCGAAGACTGACGGAACGGGCCGAGTAGAAGTTTGACGAAAATGACCGAAAAGTTGCGATTAAATTGTAAACAATAACTCTACCCGTCGAAGTTTGTTTACAGTTTACGCTTCCGCAGCATGTCGTCGTGGGAAAATGGCATGGTTGAGGTAAGTTAACATACAGTATACACAATATGTAGCACATGTCAATAATTGTATACAACTTTTTAATTATTAATTTAGTCCAACTAATTGTACTGCGCGACGAGATATTGTGCTATTTTCGTGTCTGGGCAATATCTCGCCTCTACAAAGCGAGATTCTGCCCCAGAACGAAAATATCTCAGAATCAAGCTTTGGCACGTCAATATTTTTTGACTAATTATTGATTATGATCACCTCGGCCTTGCAGTAACTTGCCAATCGACCCACAAATTAAACTGTAGTCCAACTAATGAGCTAGATCTAATTACACTTGTCAAAGAGACACCGAGGCGCTGTCTTTTTCCGACGGTTTGACAGTAAGAAAAAAGTCTGTAAAATGGTTCAAACCGTTCACGCCGAATTCATTAGGCTAGTAAACTGTACGTAAAACATATACATGTAGATATATGAAAAGAAACATGCTATACTGTACTGTATACAATGTATTTATCAAGTACTTTCTTGTAAAGTTCTAGCCGTACGTGAGTCACATACGACTAGCCAGGACACATAACACTGTACAGTACGGCACTTTTCAAAATTATTTGGAAGTCGAAAATGCATGTTTTATTTTGTGTCTTTACATGAGGATTTTAATCAAGTCTTCGCATTTGTCCTAGTGTGTTCACTTTAATAAAGATGCTCCGCCATTTTGTAAAAAAAAATGAATGCGAACAAGCGTTGTATAATCTATTTTGATAAAAGTGTCAAAGTTGTATGTTATAAGTTATAACGTCCTTGATTTTCATGCTTATTGGCGACGCCGGTGAGCGGCGTCGTCTTTTATGGAATGCTTTTTATTTTTGCCTATGGAAGGAGCTGTTATTATTAGCAGTTAATTTCATGTTTGTGTTAATTATATTTATTTTGATTCGTAAAAATCAAGTAAACAAATATGTTGTTATATTTGTATTTAATAACTTTATATAAAAAGCATGTGCATTGTGATATTATTTTCACGAAATTGCAGGCTCTGATTAACAGCTTGTCCCTTTGTTTTATTGTGATTTGTTGTTTTATTTGTATGAAAGATGGATTGTTAAATCATTTTTGTTAATTAAGCACATATGGATCGAATAAATAATGATTGGAGGGGAATAAATTATTAAATAAATAAATAAGTAAATAAAAAGAATACTGAAAAAAAAAATGGTGAAAAGCAAAATTAATTTAATACAGTATAGATAATTTTAAATATCCAACATAAAAGCACAATCAATTAATAAGCCTTAATTAAGGCAAACTTTCCCTTAATGATGGACAAACTTCTATACAGTCGGTAATTGACGCAATTATCAGAGCCTAACAACAATTAATTATTTTCGGCATTTTTTTCTTTTATTTGAAAATTGAACTAAATGAACAAAAAAATATCAACGTATTGTAAACGATTTCAATTGATGTTATTTAACTGCAACCAAACACTATTTTTTCTCGACGTCTTGAGATGACAAAAATATCTACTGTATTCGTATACTTTCTTTACTGTAGCCAACAAGGCGATTAATCTCTAAAAAGTTAACATACGAAGACAATTGTTGTGTCTTGTACAAATCCTCGCTTAAAGTCATAAAATGACATATGCATTATCGACTTCCATATATTTTTGAAAAGTGCCGTACGGCTAGCCAATACAGTGTGTCCTGGCTAGTCGTACGTGACTCACGTACGGCTAGAACTTTTGGCTAGCCGTACGGGCCCGTACGGCTAGCCACTTCCAACTTCCTACTTTCTTTTATCATATAAAACTAAAAGAGTGGTCTCCAGATTTTCATTAATCTTATTAATTTAAAAAAGTATATATCCTTACAATTTATGTATGGGCACCATGCGATCATAAAAAAACCCATTATATTTAATTTCAAAACTCAATAATCAGATAATATCTGTAAAACGAAACAAAAAAATGTCCGTGTTCTGATTTAAAGCACAGGACCCCCATTTTAACAAAATATTCCTAGCGTGTGTACTATCACGGCTGTCGGGGCAGCGTTTTTGACAGGCGATTATTTTAATTTATATACAATAGTGTTATATGTTATAAAACTTGGGGAGAAAAAAGATCAATATTTATATTGCATTTACATGCCTTAATTATATTTAGTCAGGAACTTAGTTCCAAGGCCTTCGTTATAAATATTACCAAAACTCTTTGAAACCCTAGAAAAAAAATTTAATTCGTATTTACAAATTATTATTTCGTAATTACGAAATAACATTCGTTTTTACGAATTAATATTTCGTAAAAATGAATTAATAAATTTTGTAATTACAAATTATTATTTTGTAAAACGAATTAATATTTCGTAAAAGTATTTCGTATTTACGAATTATTATTTGGTAAGAGCAAATTAAGTTCCGGTAAATACATGTAAGTGTGGAAAATTTCACCTTAAGGGCTCTGTAGATATACCCTATATAGGTTTCATGAAATATCATTAACGATTGGCCAAACTTTGACCAAACCATCTGAAAGCATTTATAAAGACTGCTAAATTTAAACAGTTTGAGATATTACAGCTGAACAGTCCCTATACACATATCAATACAATTCAGCCGTTTTTAAACCGCTAGTTTGTTGTGATTTAACGTCCCATTTTAAAATTTATTACACCAATGGAAAGCTTCAATGGATCTTAGCTCCGTCAGAGTAAATACTTCAACACATCTTTTGACACCAAAGTATTTAACTTTTAAACCTACCAGATGATACATACCATTTCAGTGAGATACGAAACCGGTTTATCTGTACTCGCAAACTGATAACAAGTAAAATGGTTTCCTGCGGGGAACATTTTTAATGATATAAAGATATTTCATTTAACTAAACGTTTGCATCAGGAATATAGTTGACAATAATTGATCAATATAGAAGAAGGTCTTTGGTGACTGGTGACCGTTGAAGACCGGAGAAGGTCGAACATAAAACAATTATTTATTTTAAGAAAATTATTAAATAGGCCTACCATTTTATGAATGATTCCGAGCAAAAAAAAGTAAACACACAAGTTTACGCTTAAAATATCTCTATTCATTAGATGCCACTACGTATATTTTAATCTTGTAGATTTTCAGTATAAAAAATTTATTGTTTGTAAAATTTGAGATAGATATTAAAGAAACATTGATAATTTTCAAACACATCATTCAAGTTTTTTCCACCTTAAACGGTAAATAATTATAGAAAAATAGAAATGTCACATACCGTATAAGTACTTATTTCTGCGGGCTTAAAATTCTGCGATTTTGGTTAAAATAAGGGTTTTTTAATTTCTGCGTATCTTATTTCTGCGGTGTCATCATTCTCGCATTGATGTTTTTAATTTCTGCGTTTTAATTTAGCTATTTTTACAAAATGAACCGATACAAACAGACAACATTTCAAGATATGTTGATGTAACATGTATATTACTTCCGGTAAACATGCAGACGACTTATAATGTGTGTTCATCGTGATCACCATGTATCGGTATATAAAATATGATAAACAAGATCAACAAGAAAAGGCGGCGTTCAATGAACAAAACGTTAATAAAAAAAATCAACAACGTGCAATGACAACAATTAACTGTATATTGCACGTGTATAAATATGAAGTGTGAAAAAAAAACAATGGTAATATCGCACGTAGACACAATATATTGTACAAATACAAAAGGGCATGTTTATTACACCCGTCAAACTATAATAGTTTTATTTTTAAAATAAATCAAGCTTAGGGTGAGCGAAAATCATACAAACATGATATTTTTTTAAACAAAAAGAACAAGTAAAGTTACTTTTGTTTCTAATATTTTATTCATGACGGATACATAAAGAAAAATTATTCCCACCTACAAAAGCTGATAACGGTACATGGTAATGTAATTATACAATACAGGTAGTTGACATATTCCGACATACATGTAGACATAGCGAAAGGCTTAATTTTCTGCGGTTTTTAAATCTGCGGTGTCGTTATAAACCGCAGAAATAGCAGAAATAAAGTTCCCGCAGAAAAAAGTACTTATACGGTAATAGTGTTTTGTTCTTAATGAGGTGCAATTCGGACTAATTCCCTAGAGGTAAATCCGTAACGTACCGGCAGACGGTATTTAGCTAGGTTTTCGAAAATGTCAATTAACCAATCATGTACGGTTTACAGATCACATGCTCCACCATGTACCGAAAACAGGTCACGTGCTCCTCCATGCCTCAAAAGTTAAACGCGTACCAATACCCTGCGGTCTCCAGACCGCAGGGAATAATAGCCTGTCTGCTTGTTCGGAAATTGTTTATCCGTGTATTCCTAATCCTATATACGCAGAGCAAGTTTGTAACACTGTGAAGATGTAGAAAGTGAATGGAAGGAAAGTTAAGCTGTCGTTATCGTTTCTATAAAAGGCCTTTACCTGGGTACCTGTTATCCATATTTATATACTTGTATCTATTGACACTTTTGCCAAGAACAGTTACTGTAGTAAACTTGGTATTTGCCACTTTTAACAATTTTTTGTTCATCTTTTGTGGCATAAAAGTTTTGGATCAGAACTGTATTGAAATATTACTATAATAACACACATTGGTTTAACCTTGTTTTAATTAATTTGCATATCCCCTTTTCACAATTCTTTTTGTCCGAAAATGGAAATACTAAATTTTCTGTTACTGTTTTTTTTCCCTTACAATGATACAAACATAAAAGGAATAATAGGTTTTTTTTCTGTTTTTGGACCTAAACTATCAAAATAACCATTACCATGCCCAGTGTGCCCTGGTGGTATACAACTTTTCCCTTATTCACCACTTTGGTAAAATTTAAGAAAGAAATGAAGAAATTAGTTGAGTTTAAAGATTTGAATTAAGCAGTTTATTTATCTGCCACATGCAGAAAATGACATCAAAGTCACATGGTATGGGCACACTGTTTTATATTTAAGTCATAGCTATGATCTTTTCAAACTCCCTGCTATGACAAACAGGTATATATATATATGGGTACCACTATATATAATAGGGTATCACTGTTTATCAATCAATGTATAGGTATTGGTTTGAACGGCAAATCATGTATTGTTCTTCCATTCCCCTTATAAGTCTTCCTTGCACAAACTCAGCAATGTTTAAGGCCCATTATGCCCAAGAGATGCAATTATTTTTTATTTCTTTAAAGCTTTTTGTGCCCCCCACTTTAGTGGCGGGCATTTATATTTACCCTTGTCCGTCCATCCGTCCTTCTGTCCGTACAAACCAGAGCTACATTATGGGGTTTGGTCTATTGTTCTCATAACAATAGATGTCTTTGATGTCATACATTCCATTTCTCTCGTGGGGTTATTTTATGCATTGTGGGGTTAAAAAGAACCAAAGAAATAACAAAAGAAAAACCCATAATGTAGCTCTGGTAAGAACGTACGTCCTTCCGTCCATCCGTCCTCTTTTGTGTCGCACGTAACTCAAAAAGTATTTGACCTAGAGTCATGAAACTTTACAGGAATGTTGATCAGCATGTGTAGTTGTGCACCTGGGTATTTTCGTCTGGATATTTTTAGAGTTATTGCACATTTCTAGTTATTTTTGGTGTCCTGTTACAGGAAGTCAAAATACTACTTTGTTCAGAATTTGCTACTTTTATGATAAACAATATCACATTCAACTCTACTTTCTTCATGTGTAAACCATCTTAGACCATTTTTAAAGCATTATAAAACTCATGTTTTAAAGTTAACAAATATATTATAATTAAGTGAAACCTGCGAAATTTGTGTAATGGACATCCAGAACAATCCATTCTGTTAAGGAAAAATTTTAAAGCCTCAGCAGACAAATAAAATATATATGATGATAAGTTAAATATTATCATACAAATAACATAAAAGATATAACATATTATGTCATAATGGAACATGAAAAAGAAAAAAATATGAATTTACATGTGAAGCAGGACGCCCAGTCCCGGCAGATACATGCTAATTTCTATGAACACTTAAAATGTATTAAAATTCTAAAATATTGTGAAGTGAGCAAAGAAAATATTTTATTTACACAATGCAAACAGCACTTACAACCCTGGTGTAAATTACCAAAAAGAGGTCAAAGTGTCAAAAAATAGCCTTTACTGTGTTAGTCACGTAGTAGAAATATGGTGATAATACTCCACAATTAGTCATGAATTGCACACAACATGGAAATTATTACTTATATCTTAAACTTTTTACTTTTCTTAAAATGTCAGTACAATTTTCTGATGTTTGATTGGCCTGAAATATCTTGGCTCACATCTGGAGGCTGCGATGCAGCTTTAAAAGAGAAGAATATTTGGATTAATTGTTAATATACAGTGAATAAATGAATAATATAATAAAGATGAGGACTGTCTGAAATTAAAGTTATAAAAAACATTCACAACATTGTGTGCTCCTAAATGATATTTGTTGTGAAGAAGTTATTGACAATTTTTTTTTATTATGAACATAGATGTGAGTGTGAGGGCTTTTGAAATATTTGTCAATCTGTATAAAAGACTTGAGTGTTATATATATACATTTGTTTGGTTATTGAGCATACATCATCATCCAGCGGGTGAGTATAAATTGGAGAGTATAAGGTTTATTCTATATGAAATTATGTATTGTTGGTATATAATAAAAATAATTATACATTTCCTTTTAATTGAAGTAGCATTGTGTCACGTCCATTTGAAGTAGTATAATGTATTTGTGTAATTGTTAATTACATGTGCATGTATAATTATGTTTATTTCATTCAGACAGGAAGTTATCCTGAATAACAAACACACGTGACTGGTTCACATGGTGTTGACTAATTGTGACTGGATGTGACTTAGGTTCACAAGGTAATGACTGGATTGTATTGTTACAAAGGCAGGCTGAAACTTGTACATGTAAGTGGTCATGCATTTACCATAAACTAACCATGATCCTGCAATTTGTATAATGAATTTGCCCAGCTTTGCATTTGGAACAGTTCCTTCTAATTTTAAGGTATTTGATGTATAATGAGCACTTTTTAAAAGGCATTTAAAACTTTTTATAAGTATAAACTATAAATACCAATAAACTGTACTATATTCTAAATACATGTACCAACAATTACCATCTTGTTTGAAAAATATTGACAATTCAATGAAGTTTAATTTTTGTATCAGTTTTATACAACAAAAAAAATATGTTTTTATTATCTGGAGAAAAGTACTTGTTATTTTACATCAAATAAGAAGAGGGTGGGGTAAGTAAACCTGTCAGATTCTATATCAAAATAAAAAAAAATGAGCCATAAAATTAATAGAAAATACAATAATTTGAGCTATTAATAGTAAAATATAATAGAACCTGGTCAGACTGCTTGCATGGAAGTATCTTTGGGGGTTTAAGTCTTTCTCATATAAAAGTGGCATGGCTATAATTTCTAAATCTGGCCTCATTGTGGTAATGGGTAATTATGCTTGTACTCAAGGGTTAAATTTTGGATTTTTCAAAATTTAATTTAAGCTATAAGAAAATGATTCTATCATAAATTGGAAAGAAAGGATAGTGGGTTTTTAAGTTAATATGAACTTGGTCCTTATATCGTTCGATGGCCTAAAATCGTCCCTATCCAATAGTCAACACTGCAACTGTGTATGTCACAAAGTATAAACAAATTTTCGTTAAGAAAGAAAGCAGTTGAATATTTCAAACATCACAGTAAATTGATTGTAACTGCTAAATTTCATCAACATAGAATGCTTGTATGATTAGAAAACATAGTGTATCTAAACAAGCACTGTAAAATGCTTAGGGCAACGAATCATGGTCTCCTTTTGATATGTTATGATGCTCTATATTTCGGTCAAGTCCTTTTCCTAATTAACATTAAAAAAACATACACACACTGGCACAGAGGCTTACATCTCTTAGAACATAAGTAGATTTGAAGTGTTATTCAGAAACTAACAATTTTAATTTGGCAGTCTTAAGAACTTAAGTTAATGTAAATACTTAAAGATCGTGGTTTGATGGTAAACCTAAATAACATCATAACATAACCAAAACTAGAAATGTGTCATCATGCCACAGATGCCCCTGCATGCAGCCAAAATTTCAGATGTAATAATATTTAGTTCCAAATTTGTTTGCACAAATTATTTTTTCATTTTAAGTTCAAAGCCCTTAAAACTTTTCAATGTTAACACAAACCATTTTCATACAATGGTCAAGGCACTGAAATTATTCAGTCTTAACCTTTTAAAAATAGCATATTGCATATTTGTAGCCAAAATAATGGCTACATACATTTCCACAAAAGTATGAGTGCTGAAACTGAAAGTTGAAAATTTTTCCAACATTCAGGAAAGAAAAGTTTGTCCAAAATCATTGAACCACGACCAAATTCAAACTTAAACTGCTTATTACTAAGATGTATCTATATTATTTTCTTAGTGAAAGGGACATAACTCTGCTAAAAAATCATCAAACCATGACCAAATTCCAACTTGACCTGCCCATTCCTTTGACATATCCATATGTCAAATTTGAGTTGACTATGTAACACTGTTGGGTAGATAATGAACAGAAACTGTAAATTTCATATTACTTTCAAAGTGAAAGGGGCATTACTCTGCCAAAAATTCATTGAACCATGACCAAATTCGAACTTGGCCTGGGCATTCCAAAAACATATCCATATGTCAATTTTGAGTTGAATGTGTTGTACCGTTGGGGAGATAATGAACGCAAACTGAAAATTTCATTTTTTTTTCAAAGTGAAAGGGGCATAACTCTGCCAAAAATTATTGAACCATGACCAAATTTGAACTTGACCTGCGCATTCCTTTGACGTATCCATATGTCAAGTTTTGAGTTGAATGTGTTGTACTGTTGGGAAGATAATGAACGGAAACTGAAAATTTCATATTGTTTTCAAAGTAAAAGGGGCATAACTCTGCCAAAAATCATCGAACCATGACCAAATTCGAACTTGACCTGTATTTTCTCATGACATATCCATATGTCAAGTTTGAGTTGAATGTGCTGTACCTTTGGGGAGATAATGAACGGAAACTGAAAATTTCATATTATTTTCAATGTAAAAGGGGCATAACTCTGCCAAAAATCATCGAACCATGACCAAATTCGAACTTGACCTGTATTTTCTCATGACATATCCATATGTCAAATTTGAGTTGAATGTGTGCAACCGTTCTTAAAATAATGAACGGAAACTGATGATGACAGAATGATGAAAGGACGGAAGGACGGAACAGGGTAACACTACATGCCCCGGCCATTACATGGCAGGGCATAAAAAAAGTGTGGCATAAGCATAACTTGACTAAGCATAGCATAAACATAGCATAGCATAAAAAATAGTGTAACATAACAAAAATAGCGTGGCATATGAATAACATAGGCATAACAATGATAGAATTGCATTGCATAATATAACACAACACATCTGTTTAAAAATATAACAGCACATAAGATAATCTCACTACTTAAATGCCAGTATTGTCCATCTGTAAATTTTATTTTTAAAACTTAAAAAAAAAGTTTGCATTTAGTGTCCTATATTTTACTGTATGTTGAACCTGATGACCTAAATATTGTTCTAAAATTTGACTTATTTGTTTATATACATGAACATGTACATAATGGTGAAAACATTTGCATTAATGAAGTATTCATGAGGTACGGTATGTAACTTAAAAACAGATACAAATGTTAAACTAAAGATAAATCTGGTTAATGGCAAATGTTAATGAAAATGGATGTACTCATGTATGTATTTATTAAAATTGGATGAAAGTTACTGTTTAGATCTTCATCCATATTGTTTTTCATACTGGTGTGTAAGATCTGTCATAAATTGTCAATTTTAGTTCAGTTTTAGGAAAATGGGAACTGATGAAAAGTGTGGTATTGTTTGTAAGTTTACTCAAATTTAGGAAAATAGATTTTTTATAAGAAAGAAAGTGGGTACAAAATTTTAATGTATTTAAATTTTGAGATATTCCTAACGGTAAATTGATTTATTTGATATGACAGAGTGGAGGTTGTATAAATGTTTATTACAATAAAACACAACATAACAATTAAGAAAAACAACAATGAAAAAACAATTTGTATGATCTAAGAGTACCAGAATGATATTTTTAGGGCATAGATAGGATGTATAGAAAAATATGAGCAGATCCTGTAGGTTTGAATCCTGCCAGGGACTTTGGAAGCTTTCATGTGAGGAAACTATCCAGCTAGCTTACGGAACATCGGTGGTTCTACTCAGGTGCCTGCTTGTGCCTGAAATAATGCACAATCTCAGGCACCTCAGATGTCTTCAACCACAAATAACAGGATAATGGTCATATGACCTCTTTGTACCAAAAAAATAAATAACAATCATCATAAACAACAACTTGAAGTATCAGACTTATGAATATATAGGAAAAAAAATTCTTATTTATTAATGACTAATGTTTTTATGACTTATTTTATGCTACAGGAAACACTTGATATTTTCCTATTCATTAAATAAACAAGTAGGAAAAAACCTGGTGTTTTATTTTCTTTAATTAAGTTGTTTTGTATTGTGGCAAGACTAATTGCTTATCGTTATGGTATATCCACTTTAGTAACATTATATTATTATTCTAATTGTTGGTTAAGACTCCTATAATTGTTACATAATACTCCTTACAAATGTGTACAGTTATAAACCTTGGTATTTTGTTGAATATCTATTGGAGATAGTCAGAGTTATAGCCCTCTTTTGGAGTTATTGCCCTTGATAAAGCAAGATAAAAGCATTCTTATTCTTTGGTAGCAAAAGTTTTTGCTGTTGTTATATGTAGAACCAGAAACGTAGTTGCTATGCTTCAGGGCTGCAGATTACATGCGTATTTGCGTAATTACCCAATTAAAATGTAAAAAAACGCAATAGAAATAATAACTAAGGGTAAGAAAAAGTAAATGAATTCTTATTTATGCAAACTTGATAGATAGATAGATAGATACTTAGTTTGAATTTTAAGACGTAAGCTTAACACCATACATCAGGCAGATCATACTGTTGCAGACTGTTTTAACCTTTAAATTATATCAGGCAGCTTGGAAATCTCCAAGGCCAATAAACAATAGTGATAAGTAGCTTTTTTATTACTATACAAAACATACAACAGTCTACAATGAGGGTCAGAAATTTTGGGTAAGATACATGAACTCGTGCTTTAAAACCCAAATTGGATAGAGGGTAGGGTAAAAAATACAGAAATAACTCTAAGAAAATAGAAAAAACCCAAAAGATAAAAAAACAAGGGGTAATCACCCAATATAATTCTGTAACCCTGTATGCTTATTCAAATGCACCAGTCGTTCAACGTAATTTTTGGTTACAACATATTGGAATTTGGAGACATCTATGTCCTTAGTGTGGAAATTTGTCTAGTTCATACAATTATCACTGGTTTTTGATGAACTATCTATAGATTTTTATGTAATTGTTATAGAAGTTTTTGCCATATATACCGGTAATATTCTATTTTTTTTTCACAGGGTCAGAATGAACAAATAGAAGAGGATAATTGATGATCCAGTTTATTGTGGTTCAGTGGTAGGAAATCATTTCTTTCAAAGTGCTGGTGAGATTTAATGATTTCAAATGGATTGGTCTACCTTAGAGTGGATTGGTCTACCTCAAAATTGATTGGTCTACCTTAAAGTTGATTGGTCTACCTTAAAGTGGATTGATCTACTTTAAAGTGGATTGGTCTACCTTAAAGTAGATTGGTATACCTTAAAGTTGATTGGTCTACCTTAAAGTGGATTGATCTACTTTAAAGTGGATTGGTCTACTTTAAAGTGGATTGGATTACTTTAAAGTAGATTGGTCTACCTTAAAGTGGATTTGTCTACCTTAAAGTGGATTGGTCTACCTTAAAGTGGATTGGTCTACCTTAAAGTGGATAGGTCTACCTTAAAGTGGATTGATCTACCTTAAAGTAGATTGGTCTACCTTAAAGTGTATGGGTCTACCTTAAAGTGGATTGGTCTACCTTAAAGTGGATTGGTCTACCTTAAAGTGGATAGGTCTACCTTAAAGTAGATTGGTCTACCTTAAAGTTGATTGGTCTACCTTAAAGTTGATTGGTCTACCTTAAAGTGGATTGGATTACTTTAAAGTAGAAGTTTTAAGTGATATACTGAGTATGAACATTTAAATATGATGAATTATAGTAATCTAGTGTAGAAAAATATTATTATCTTTTTTCATATCATATGACTATAAGGTATATTGGATCATGTTGAACAACATTCATATGTAATTGTTCAATAGTTAAATGTTAAGTCTGATATTAAATAATATCAACATAATTATTTATAGTAACACAGACCTTCAATTATAGACCAGTTCACTTTAATTTATTTATTAGCTGATTCATCATTAGTATTGATGTCTGTTGCTGGTTAGTGGATTTCTCAATAATATATGCATTAACAGTTCATAGGAACCAGTCGATTGGTCATCACCAAACCTATTCATTTATTCCTTCTAAAAATCTTGAACCATTCAAAGTTCTACATGGAACTTATCATAAGAGCAATGAAAGTTTGTCATATAATATGTACACAGATCTGCAATTGATTAAAAATTATGTATTCTTGACAGCTTAAATTAAGTTTTTTTTGATAATATATGATCAGTACATGTGCTGGGATTGACAAATTTTACATTTTATTTGGATTTTAAAGGCGTTTTGAGTTCCACACCCCAAGTGTCTGAGGTAATTCAGTCATCAGTTTTAACCTCTAGCCTACCGCCACTGAAAATGTATCCCTTTGTTACCAATTTTTAAAACCAGGCCAGCCTGTACATCAGCCTGAACCTAGTAATATTGTTGGCTTACTTACTGTAAATTTTCATCTTGACATCCCCAAATATTGATTAAACAGTTCCAAAAACAGAAGCTAGGCAAGTCCATTTTAGAAAATAAGTAATAAAAGTAAGCTGTTGCTAGGTTTCTCAAGACGTTATATGCTAATTAATGTTAATGTAATTACCAGCAATCATAAGTAGGGCATCCGTAATTGAGTGGTTTAGGTCGTTGACTTTAAACCACTCTCCCATCACTGCTGTTTGTTCAAATCCTGACAGGGACTTTATCCAAGTATAGCTTACAGAACTTCAGTGGTTCTACACATGTTGCCGTTTATGCCTGAAATAATACACGGAAGGGCACCTGATGTCTTCCTCCGCTAGTAAAGCTGGCTAAGTCATCACATGACCTATATTGTGTTGGTGCGACCTAAAAGCTAACAAAAAATAAACAAATGAAAAACCAGTATTCATAAACAGGTCCATGAGTTTTTTTTACCAAGCAGTTTTTTCATTGAATATTTCAGTTAAATTCCTTTCAGAACAGAATCTTTATTTTAATATTGAGATATTATATTTTGTTTTTATGTTTCAGGTAAATGGGGAAAAGGATTTCTCCAGTATGATCAAAGACATTGTATCACATTATATTATACTCCAAAATGAAGTGCAATATTTGTAATGTAGAGACACCTACAATCAGAATGCCACATCATTAAAGTGTAATCTGTTTACCTTACCAGAGAAAACGGGAATCAACATGGAGGGGCAGGGTGATAACCGTATCCATGGCAGCAGTGAGGACACACCTCTTCTTGTAGAAGAGACTGGTTCAGGAACTGTAACTGGGACAGAACATTGTCAGGAGGAAGTTAATCATACATCGGGATTCACTTTGAAACATTTAATGATTGTTCCTATGTGTGCCTGTTATTTTATCGCCGGATGCATTTACTTGTATATTTTCCCTCAGTACATTCAAAAGGTGATGGAGAATAGTGACGTGAAGGATTTTCCGCACAAAATTTCACCACATGTTCCACATGTTATTTTTTCCCAACGTAATTATGTTTTTCAATCTCAGGAACAGACAATTTCCGATGGGTGCTCTAATGTGAACAAGTCTGACGAGGCGTACAAGAAGTTTGACCACATTCAACAGGAAACTGCCAAATGGATTATTTATTTCAACATATCAGCGCTAATACCGGCAATGTTCGCAAATTTGATCTGGGCATCTTTTTCTGATGTGCTTGGACGGAAATTTGCGATGTTCCTATGCTTGGCTGCGATGACAATACGTTTAACTATTTTCACATTTGTTGTATACTTCAAATTAAGTCTAGTCTATGCGTTAATCGGCAATTTTATCGATGGACTGGCCGGGTCTTACACTAGTCTCTATGCTATACTGTTTTCATATGTGTCTGATATTACGTGTACCGGAAAACAACGAACCATAGCAATAGTCGTCGTAGAACTTGTGATTGGGCTTTCATTTACGGCCTCATCTATAGTATCCGGACATTTGATAGATCAGTTTGGCTTTTTTTATCCGTCGATGGTAAATTCTATCATATCTGCAGTAGGGATTTTGATACTTCTATTTCTAGTTCCAGAAACTATGCAACGCAATCAAACAGAGCGACAAAGACCGACTGTCTGGAAAAGTTTGGCGGAATCTTTTAGATTCTATTTTTGTGATGGAACAAAAATTAAGCGTGTAAAATATGTTTTATTAATGCTTTCATTCTTCTTCATGGGTATACCAGCAATGAGTAGGATGTCTATAGAAGTACTATATCAGTTAGGTCGACCATTCTGTTGGTCGCCAACAAAAATAGGCTGGTTCGGGGCCATCAAGATGATTGTGGCGTCGTTATTTGGCATCGGAAGTACTTATATATTTAAACGTTGTGTGGCAGATGATACGATTGCCTTCTATAGTTTGATTCTAACTGCCGCTGGCTACGTGGTGGAGGGATTGGCAAAGACTGATTTTGCCTTATATAGCGGTATGTTGCAAAATATTCTATATGTTTTGCCTTACATTGAATGAAAGTTATTCAAATGCAGGCATAATTCAATTGGAATTTAATTGATTTTGAATAGTTGCTGTATATTGTCAGCCTTGTAGGAAGCTGTTATGATAGCTTAATTGAATATAATGGATGAAATTTATCATTTTTAAACATATCAATAAATACCAATCCAAATATGTTATACATATATTTCTATTATATCTACATGAAACTGTACAATTATAGTGAAGGTTTTTTAGTATAATTTAATGTTTAGCAAGAGCTGTTTGAAACCGCACTTAACTTGAACCATTAAAATGGGCCATTTAAGTTAGTTGTCAGAAGTTGCTCAAATCCCTTTGCTTCTGTCATGTCAATTGTTTATACACCTAGAAGGTAGAAGTATAGTATTTGTATTATCCTTCAATTTGTCTGTTCTACATGTATGTGTTTAAATACTGAAGGCTAATTAGTTTGACAACAAATTCTTCTATTTACAGTAACTGTGATAGCTGCACCTTCTGGCCTACCATTCCCAATGATTAGAAGTTTGATGTCATGCCTTACTCCTGCTGATAAACAAGGTATTATATTCCACCAAAATTGTCATCCTTATTGTCGTATTAGCTATTGTCAGCCTTGAAGTAAACTGTTCTATATATATTGTCAGCCTTGAAGTAAACTGTTTTATAGATATTATCAGCCTTGAACTAAAGTGTATGATACATATTGTCAGCCTTGAAGTAAACTGTATGGTAGCTATTGTCAGCCTTGTAGTAAACTGTATCATAATTATATATTGTGAGCCTTGAAGTAAACTGTATGATTGGTAAATTCAACCTTCTAGTAAACTGTATGGGAGATATTGTCAGAAGTAGACTGTAACTATGATAGCTGTTGTCAGCCTTGTAGTAAACTGTATGATTGATATTGTCAGCCTTGTAGTAAACTGTATGGTAGATATTGTCGGAAGTAAACTGTATGATATACATTGTCAGCCTTGTAGTAAACTGTATCATATATATTGTCAGCCTTGAGGTAAACTGTATGGTAGCTATTGTCAGCCTTGTAGTAAACTGTATCATAATTATATATTGTGAGCCTTGAAGTAAACTGTATGATTGGTAAATTCAGCCTTGTAGTAAACTGTATGGGAGATATTGTCAGAAGTAAACTGTATGATAGATATTGTCAGTCTTGAAGTAAACTGTATGGTAGATATTGTCAGCCTTGTAGTAAACTGTATGATAGATATTGTCAGCCTTGAAGTAAACTGTATGGTAGATATTGTCAGCCTTGAAGTCAACTGTATGGTAGATATTGTCAGCCTTGAAGTCAACTGTATGGTCAGCCTTGTAGTAAACTGTATGATAGATATTGTCAGCCTTGAAGCAAAATGTATGATAGATATTGTCAGCCTTGAAGCAAAATGTATGATAGATATTGTCAGCCTTGAAGTAAACTGTATGATAGATATTGTCAGCCTTGAAGTAAACTGTATGATAGATATTGTCAGCCTTGAAGTAAACTGTATGATAGATATTGTCAGCCTTGAAGTAAACTGTATGGTAGATATTGTCAGCCTTGAAGTAAACTGTATGGTAGATATTGTCAGCCTTGAAGTAAACTGTATGATAGATATTGTCAGCCTTGAAGTAAACTGTATGATAGATATTGTCAGCCTTGAAGCAAAATGTATTATAGATATTGTCAGCCTCGAAGTAAACTGTATGATAGATATTGTCAGCCTTGATGTAAACTGTATGTTAGCTATTGTCAGCCTTGTAGTAAACTGTATGATAGATATTATCAGCCTTGAAGTTAAACTGTATCAAAACAAAAAAAAATGAATAAATAATACAAACAAATAAAATAAGATTAAAACAAAAAAAATTATTTTATAAATAAATACTATCGGGAGCGCGGGGGGGGCGGGTGTGGCGGGGGTGGCGGGGGGGGGGGGTCGGGGGCGGTGGGAGGGGGGCGGGGTGGATGGGGGTGGGGACGGGGTCCACAATCGCCCCCGGCAGGGGGCTGGTCGAAGGGGGGCGGTGTGCGCGGGCGGTACGAACTCGCGGAAGGTCGGGTGGGGGGAGTGGCGGGGGTGTCGCAGCGCCCTGAGCCGGTAGGGGTGGGGTCACGATCTTCATACGGGGGTGGGGGGCGGTGGCGGGGGGGGTGCGGTAGGGGCGTGGGTGCTGGTAGGCTGGGGTGTGGTGCCTGCGGTCTCCGCCCCGCCGCGGGCGGTAAATTCAGCCTTATATAGTAAACTATATGGTAGATATTGTCAGCCTTGTAGTAATATATGATAGATATGTCAGCCTTATATTGTTCTTTTATCTAAAAGAAATGCACCTTCACATACGATGTATATTAAAATCTGATCCAGTTTGATCTAATTCATGATGTTGGTTTGTTTAATTATATTTCAGGCCTATTATTTTGTTTACTTACAGGTGCTATTTTTGGAAGTTATTTTTCAGGCATGTTATTTTGTTTACTTACAGGTGCTATTTATGGACATTATTTTTCAGGCCTGTTATTTTGTTTATTTACTGGTGCTATCTTTGGACGTTATTTTCCAGGCTAGTTATTTTGTTTACTTACATGTGCTATTTATTGATTCATGCTATTTTTGGGCGTTGTCAGGCCCATATAATTTTTGTTTACTTACAGGTGCTATTTTTGCACATTATTTTTCAGGCCTGTTATTTTGTTTACTTACAGGTGCTTTTTTTTGACGTTATTTTTCAGGCCTGTTATTTTGTTTACTTACAGGTGCTATTTTTGCAAGTATTGGTTTTGTAGAGACATTGTGTTCATTGATTGGCTCTGTTAGCACGAATGCCGTGTATGCAGCAACGTTGACTATAATGAACGGCTTTGTTTTTCTCCTGATGGCAGGATTGACCGTTATAGGAGCACTCTTCTTATTGTAAGTAAAATGAGTCGCGTCATGACAAAACCAACATAATGCGTTTGCGACCAGCATGGATCCAGACCAGGCTGCGCATCCGCCCAGTCTGATCAGGATCCATGCTGTTCGCTTACAAACCCTATTACAAGTAGAGAAACTGATAGCAACAGCATGGATCCTGATCAGACTGCGTGGATGCACAGGCTGGTCTGGATCCATGCTGGTCGCAAACGCACTATGTTGGTTTTGTCATGATGCAGCTAAAATTTTCATTGGCATAATAATTTGGGTTTTAAATCCATGTCTTCTGTTAAGAAGTAAAAGTGATGTATAAAGTTCCAGTAACAACTTCTCATTAATAGGTAATAGTTTTAGCTTGATTACACCCTATTGGATACGCTGTCTATTTTTCATATAACATGCTGGAATTCGCTTAGAAATGCATTATGTATTACAAAATATGTTTGTTTACAGCAAGTTAACATATTATTTGATTTAATTATGATTTCCACAATTCATAAAACAGTAGTGATTTAATAACAAACCCGGGTGTAGATTTTCCGAGGTTTATAAAAAAAAACATGGAAACTGCTTCAAAAACCTTGGAAATAAACCAGTTTTACAAGGGTTTTTTTTATTTCCGAGTTTTTTTTTAAAACCTTGGAAACTTTATCCAAGGTTTTTGTATAAAAATCCTTGGAAATAAAGAAGACCTTGGAAACTATCTCGGAATTAAACACTCTGCCAAAAATCAGCTCGGAAAAAGCTTGGAAATAAGAACTTTGTCATTTTTTTGCTCGGAAAAGAACTTAGAAAATTTACGTAAAATTAGTTGGAAACACTTTGCCAATATTTAGCTTGGAAATGACCTTGGAAAATTGAACTTAACTAAATTTCATCTCGGAAAATGTTAAGGCATAATCATGATTTAACTTATAATGGGCATCAAAAGCAATAATCAACAGTTAAAGCTGCAGATTTACTCAAACCAAGATAACAACCCGGCTGTAGATTGCCCATGGATATTTTCTAATTCATGGTCAGAGCAAACAATTGTCCATGGTTAGTCCATGCAAGACAGCATGGAAAGGAGGGATTTAGTCCAGGGAATCAATTTTTAATATGGACATTGTCAATGGCCAACTTCCTTTTCAATAAATTTGTACTTTAATTTTCTGAAAGCAATTTAATTGGGAGGAATCAATTAAAAAATTTAAGTGTGAAAACATGGAAAAGTTAAATACAATGTAAATTCCTTGCTCCCATAAAATACCTTTTATTAATGGCTATAAAGGTATTGTAACTAATCATAATAAGATAAAGATTATTCAAATAACTGATGATCAGAAAGACTTTAAAAAAATAATTTTTATTTCCATATTTTTTTTTTTTATTATATATAATTATTGTTACTAGATATCTTCTCCATTTTTAAGAATAGATAAAAGAGCAAAACTATAATACAAAAAGAAACAATCAGTCTTTATGTCTATTAGTTTCCAAATGCACCAGTATTTTTCCTGCAGTTTCTTTCTATATATAGACTTAACTTAAGGTTTCTTAACAGTCTGTAAGCAACACTGAAATAAGAATGCTATTAATCTTTAATATATGTTTTTATGCCATATAAAATAGTATATTCTACTAAGCTGTTTTGAAGTCTGTGACATACATTCAGATTTACAATTTACTCTGCAATTAGTTTATGTGTACAACAACATAAATAGTTATTAATTGTCCTTTTAATATATAATAATGTACAATTAATGTGTGAAATATGTATGCTTGATAATTTTCTTAAAATTAGAATAAATAAAATACTGCATCCACTAAGATTTTCACACACAGAATATATAAACACACCGATCAGATAAACTAATGGCACCCCAGGTAGTTCCCTTTATCTATGCATGATCAATCTTCTCATTGGGCATTCTGGGATAGACCAGATTGTTCCATGTGATTATTCAGGGGGAGTCTGGGTTTTTGTACTTCCAAATCAATCAGTCTAAAATGACACTGCAACTGTGATTCTCTTTCAAGAACTTATTATAATTTTCAAGTTTTACTTTTATTTATCATTTGATATACTTGTACCTTCAATAAATGTAAAAATAAAATGATGATGGCTTGATATTTTGGGATCACCCCTGTTTCACATTATTATTGCCCCTTCAGTTATACTGTTGAAAAATTTGAATCTCAGACATTAATGGTTCAAGTGGTTATAGTTGGAAATAGTGCAAACCTGGATTTATTTTAAGCAATTTTGGAGATATCTTGTTTTTAATGTTAGGGAGCATATTTTTGGAATTTTCAAAGAAAACATTAATATCTAAGTGTTGACAAGATTCAGGAAATGTTTGGTTGTTGTAATTGAACCTAAAGATCAATGACCTGAGACAGGAAGATAAACAAAAGAAACATGATAGTAAAAAGGTTCAGGTAAATAATTTTAGATACATTTATGCATAAAATCTGTTGTTGTTTTTTCAAATCAGTATTAAATACAAACTATTTTAGATCTATATTTTTAACCTAAATGTAAGCTAGTTTAAATACAAGTGTTTAGAGGATATTTTATGAGTATAAATGCTGTTTGTCTATGATTGTATTGAACAAGATGAGTGCATGAAACTATGATGACATTATTTATAAACTTTCATCTATTATTTGAATCTACAAATTTTTAATTACAGAGTCAGTTTGAAAGCAAGTTTGCAGAACTGTTCCAAACTACAAGAAGATGGCAATCCAGCTTTGCTGTGTTTTATTGGCGTCCGCGCCGAAGCGCGGCGCCTTTTATGTAATGAAATCAGATTTTGTGAAAGGGCGACAGCAACTTCTCGAGCCTTTTATAGTTGTTTATAATAAAAGCCGATCATTCCGATCGGTATGAGGGTGCTTGATTATCATAGTATAAAACAGAGGAATATACTGGAATGTCATTGGCATTGGCACCTTCTTTAAGGAAGCCAACTGTAGACCAGGAAAGGCTTCAAGGAAATTATACTACAGTATGTTTTTGTTTTAAAACTAGGTTTTGAAAGTTACAATTTGAAATTTGAATGAATGAAGTTTTCTGGAACTGGTTTTTTATTGATACTTTGTTGGAAATGCTGTTAATGTTACATGATGACTCTCCAGCTTTATTGATGCAGATGTCACTTTGAGCAGACAGATACAATTAGTGTAGGCAATCCGAATCACCTTTTGAAAAGCGTTATTTTTTGCAATATTTTTAGAGTGCTTTAGGTTGTATTGTAACATCCAGTATGACATAATCTAAAATAACAGTTACAGACATCGTTTCTTTTCTAAACATCGCAGAATTGTCACACTGCTTAAGCCTAGGTCACAAATAAGAAAATGCCGTCGGGCGGCGTCTGTTTCTCCAAAAAATCGCAATATCGGCCGGCGTCCGTCCGGCGGCAGTGACTATCAGACGGCAGCAGCTGAAAATTTGCTCATCGGGCAGACGCCTTCGAGTTTTAAGTAATACTTAAAAGCTAACAGCTGCCGGACGATAATTTTTGGAGTCACTGAAGTATAAATATCATCGAGCGGGCGGCGACCGGGCGATGATTTTTTGATCTGGCGATTTTTTGTTCTACTAAAACAGCGTCGGATTTAAAAGGCGTCCGGGGCGGACATAGGCCGGGCCCCCGCCCGGTGCCTGAATAGAGACAAGTAGTCAAACGATTATCGCCCGGTACCCGGACGATTCATGTACAGGCACCGGGCGGTCATCGTTTCGTCATCCGCGCGACCGGGCTGCTTGTGTTTGTTGTAATTTCAGCTTGAAGAAGTTGTAATTGCCATCAAAAATATATTTTGTGAATTTCTTTTGAATACTAGTAAACATGAATTTTTTCTTCAATGTCCATGCGAATGTCTGATTGATTTTCGCCTTCTACGGCCTCCATACTGGCCGTTGGTGACTCGTTGTCAACAACACGGACCAACTCATTGGCCTTCCCCTTGGCTTTGGCAGCTGACCTTCTTTGCTGGCATAATTACAACTGGCTTGATTTATCTAGGATGTCATTAAATGTAAAGTCATTGTCACCCGGTGCCCCGCGTCTGGCAACCGTGCGATTCACTTTTAAATCGCACAGGCGCTGTACGAACATCGGGCGGCGACCGCCTGATCCGTTCAATTCTTTCTGTAAAATCCACTCGGCAAAAAATCGCCCGTCGACTGTTTCATTTATGACCACGCAAGGTATCAGATTTAAAATCGCCCGGCATCCACGACATCAAAAAATCTGCCGATTTTATAAAAATCGTTTAATTGGACGGCGCCCGTTGTATTTGTGACCTAGGCATAACCAAAGTTTTCTTGAAATCCTGACACTTAAAGTACTGATGAAGAAAAAATAGAAATCAACATGAAAAAAATTAAATTCACAATTTTCAAAAACAGTAGACAAACATTTAAAAGTAACTACAGAAAAAGGTCATTTGGAAAATATTAAAGCCTTCATTTTAAACAAAGGTTCTTAACCAACTTGTCATTCAAGTAGTTTTGGATCACTCAAAAGATGTATTTCTTTTCACAAAAGTGCTGATTTTTTAAAACAATATATATCAATAGTGAACTGATATTTATGTCTATGGAAACATTAGGAACATATCATTTTGTTTTTATTGATTAATAAAAAAGAAATTAAATGATGTAATTCTGATTGCCTACACATACTGTACTGTCCTGAGTATAACCACATGTGTTCCTTAATCCTGGTCTAGATAGCTCCCTCAGAGGGTAGAAGCCCATCCTGGCTTCAGGAGTCAAAAATACAATGTTGTAAGGCAAGTAGTTTGAAGTCTTTTGATCCTGACCACATGGAGAGGGAAGCGCCCAGTGGTGATTTTATATTTAACTGTTTTCTAACTTCTTTCATGGCTATATTTACTTGATTTATTTCCAGGAATTGTATCCTGGAGCCGCATTTTTCACATGTTGACCCCTGTGATGGTGAGGAAAAAACTAAGGGACACTTTAAAATCATGAAGAGTGAACAGGAATCCAATAGATAGATATTTGAAATATATTTAAATATAGCCGGATACCAAAAAAAAATTATAACTGAACATTTGATTGTAATATTTACCCATTAAAGACTATAACTAACTTAACTTTTCATTTGTAGTGCATTACTATTTTACTTCACACTGACATTTAAATGTTTCAGTGAGTATTTGATCATTTTTTGTTCTGTATATTTATAAAGAAGTTTCTTAATTCCTTAAAAAGGACATTATAATTGCTCTTTTAGATATATTTTCATTGGATGTTATTTTTCTGATTTTCCATGGATATTCTAGAAATTTCCAAGGTTTTTGCTTAAATAAACCTTTGGAAAATTCTCTGATGCCCTTAAGTAAGAAAATCCTCGAAAAATATTTACAGTATTCCTAGTTGTGAGAAACTTTCGAGGTTTTCATTTAAAAAACCTTGGAAAACAAACCACAGAAACACTTTAAAAATCCTCTTGGAAATCGTTCCAAGACTCCGAGGTCACTCAGTTTCCAAGGTTTTCTAAAAAAAAATCCTCGGAAATTATTTTTACGAGGTTTTATTTTCTGAAATCCTTGGAAATTGTTCCAATACTCCGAGGCTCATACTTTTTTACGAGGTTTTTTTAAAAAAAACTCGGGAAATTTTTTTTAACAAGGTTTTTCACCCTCTCCATATTTTTCCAAGGTTTTTTATAATAGCAAAGTTTTGCATTTTCTTGTTCCAATACTCCGAGGTTTTTTTCCAAGGATTTTGAGCCAAAAACCTTGGAAAATCTACACCCGGGAAGGTTTCTTTGTATCTCTATCTTGACCATTTTACTTGTAGAGATATTTATCAAAGTAAAACGATCTTTAACATATCCATTGACCTCTTTAGTAAATCTTTTTAATGTGTATTTTATTTTATTGAAATTTTTCACAGTTCCCTGTATGACTATAAAAACATAAATATTTGCAGTTAACTCAGTGTGTGTTGAATAGCATTTTAAAGTTTCTTATAGGCCATATTTCAGCATGTAACTTTTCAACACTGCATGAAGTATTATGCAATTTTTTCCAAAAAATTATCTTGATTTGTAACAGACAAAGGGAAATAATAAAAATTACAAGATTTGGCTTTCTATAAAACAGTTATAAGAAGTTTATAATTACCATGTTCTTGATACAATGTGAATATACATCCAAATGTCACAGTTTTAAATATTTTAAGGTGCCTCTGGGGCTAAGTAGTTATACCCCTGAGGGATTTGAATTATTTCATGAGATGGAGCTTTCTTGCATATTAGATAGAATTATCTACTGTTTCCACTAGTGCTAGGAAACCCTGTCTTTAATACATCAATTGTGTTAGACAAGTTGTGTGTTTTAAATAATGTCCTACATGCGCACCTTTCATGAATGAATTACATTCTTATGATGACATCATTTGCTGTTATGATTAAAGTTGTAAATTCAAAGGCTGCTATAAGAAAAAGTGGTAAATGAAAACATTGGTTTTCATAATTTCATTTATTGTCATATCCAAGAAAAAGAATCAAACACAGGCTGTTGTCACAGACAGGAAAATTTAGCTTTTGGGTAACTGTTAAGCCAAAACTCGGCAGCCAGTGTAAGATCCTTAAAATCCTAACAGCTTGCTGAAGGTTGAAAGTTCTACTCGGGTGCCTTTCTGTCCCTGAAATGATGTAAGGGGGTCTTCCTTTACAGGTGAAAGTTGTATATTATAACTTTCTCAGTCAATGCTGCCCCTATTCCAAAATTATATGAGCCGCTTCACGACAAAACCCATATAATAGGCTTGCGACCAGCATGGCTCCAGACCAGCCTGCGCATCCGCACAGTCTTATCAGGATCCATGCTGTTCGCTTACCAACTCTATTACAAGTAGAGAAACTGATAGCAAACAGCACAGATCCTGATCAGACTGCACGGATGTGCTGGCTGGTCTGGATCCATGCTGGTCGCAAACGCACTATGTTGGTTTTGTCATGACGCGGCTCATATGTAAGGAAACACCAATCAATCAAAGATTTTAGTTTTTATCTTATTTTTGTTTGCTGTTTTTTTTAGGGCATTTATGGTTGTCCAGAGGAAGAACAAAGAGGGATCAGCTGAAACTGTAATTTTTGTCAACCCAGATATAGCTAGTACAGAAGATTGATTATCCTGAAACAATTACTTCAGATGGTTGTAGACTATGATATCGCTTCTCCATTTTGATGTCATCTCTGAAATAAAAAACCGAAATAACTACACCAAATGGTTGACAACTTTGAAATATCTACACCAAATAGTTGACAACTTTGAAATATTTACACCAAATGGTTGACAACTCTGAAATAACTACACCAAATGGTTGACAACTCTGAAATAACTATACCAAATGGTTGACAACTCTGAAATAACTACACCAAATGGTTGACAACTCTGAAATAACTACACCAAATGGTTGACAACTCCGAAACAACTACACCAAATAGTTGACAACTCTGAATACACCAAATGGTTGACAACTCTGAAACAACTACACCAAATGGTTGACAACTCCGAAACAACTACACCAAATGGTTGACAACTCTGAATACACCAAATGGTTGACAACTCTGAAATAACTACACCAAATGGTTGACAACTCTGAAATAACTACACCAAATGGTTAACAACTCTGAAATAAGTACACCAAATGGTTGACAACTCTAAAACAACTACACCAAATGGTTGACAACTCTGAAACATCTACACCAAACGGTTGACAACTCTGAATACACCAAATGGTTGACAACTCTGAAATAACTACACCAAATGGTTGACAACTCTGAAATAACTACACCAAATGGTTAACAACTCTGAAATAAGTACACCAAATGGTTGACAACTCTGAAACATCTACACCAAACGGTTGACAACTCTAAAATAAGTTTCTGGGAAGAAGAGACATGGCAATTAATCTTTTACACGAATATGAATTAATATATGTACAATAATATACTATGATTTCTCATTATTATATGTATCATTGTTTTATGAAAACCTTGAAGGAACTTTACTGAGGTCCAATAGCCTAAAACATGAAATTTGAATTTTTTTACATTAATCAACTGGAGCACTAAAACAGAAAGATTCGTGAAAGATAATTAAGATATATACTCAGAATTAAATGGAAAATCGTATGTCTGTGCTTTCCTTAGCCCTATTTGTGTGAAAGGTGTTGCAAAGCATTCCAATTTTGCGTTATTTTTCACAGAATATTTATTCTGGAAAAATAGAGTGAGCGATTGATATGAAATTTTGCTTACAACTTATTGGTTTAGACTAAAATTAAATGGAACATTTATCTTGACAAATTAATTCCAGTCCCCTCATGTCAAAAAATCACAGTGGAGTCTCTTTAAAACATGCCTGTGTTTTCTTGAGTGAACATACATGTTTCATGTTAATGGGATACTAAGTGTTTTTTATAAATGCCCTAGGATTACTTGAACTGTTGAAATCATAATTTCACAATTATAAGATATGCAGTTTTATTTCATCCCGTTGTTAAAGTGACAAATAACAAGTATTATGTTCATAGAATATCGAATGTATGTTTCTTCTGTCTTTTTCACAGTTTACTAATGTGTAATTTATGATTCTGTGATGTTAATTTATTTTCTTGTGATGATACAATCTTTAATCCATTTACACCTTACTATTTTTATTTTTGATGTATTATTTGTTAGTTTTGCACTCTGGCATGTATTTTGATGTGTTCAGTAAGAGGTTTCGAGGAAGACAAAATGTTGCCTTGTCAGCATTTTGTCTGAGAGTAATGATTCATATACTCTTGCATATCAGACAGGATTATCTACTGTAAACATTGGTGCTATAAAAAACCTGTCCTTTGCCCCTCAAGAAAGACAATTTGAGTGACGTCATTCCCACGCTTTTTATTAACAAATTTTGTTCATAGGATGTCGACTTTTTTTCCAATATGACTGAAGTTGTAAATTTATATGCTACTATTAGAAAAAAGTGATACATGAAAATATTAGTTTTCATAATTTCTTACCAAAATATGACTAATTTTTGATATGCAAGAAAAAGAAAAAAAACCAGCTGTTGTCATAGACAGGAATGAATATCTAGCTCTCGGTTAACTGTTTAGTGGAAACTCGGCTGAGCATTGCTATGGCCGTAAACAGTTACACCAGAGCTAAATATTTCTGGTCTGTAAGGGTAATGGGTGTAAGATCCTTGTAATATTACCTCTGTAGTAAAAAGGCTACGTGTACCATCATTCAATTGTTGCAGTATATTTGTCTTAAGGGCATGGACTGAAACGAAGGGTATAAAAGGCATTTAACAACTAATTATGTACCAAGTGCTTTATACTAATCAAACTTAAGTCATGTTTTAGAGACATAGGGCCACTACTTTTTATATTTTTAAGCTCACCTGAGCACAAAGGTCTACAAGCTTGAGCTTTTGTTATATGATGATGTTTGTTTTGTCATGCAACAAAAGTTCTTCAAATCATACTGTCAGGGCAAAATTAACCCCACCATTGTTCTTTTTTTTTATTTCTCATAGACTTATATAGAAAGACACATAAATTTTTATTCACTATTGCTTCATTTAAGGAGCTCAGATATTTTACACATACAAAGTTATAATGAATAATGACCCTAGGGTTAATAATAGTGCTAATTTGTTACATTAATTAATTATATAATGGGAAAATATCTTTGAAATCTTAGATATTTGGCATGTAGCATTGTCTGGTGGACCTCTACTAAAGATATATGAATCATGATGCTAGGGTCAAAAATGGCACCGCCCTGTATGACCAAATGACTAACTTCATGAAGACTTATTACCTTTTTACAGCAATAAATGTTAGGTGAGCAATTTAGGGCTATCATGGCCCTCTTGTTTTTAAGTCACCATGGGATTTCAAAAATGGTAATTTCCAAACAAGAAAAATTACATCACTTTCCATTTTAATCTTAGACTTGTTTTTTTTGTGTTGTTAATGAATTGTGTATTTTAACTGTATTGCTGGCAGGACTACATTTTTCTGTTGATACAAGATAAACCTTTAACCAGAATGTAACCACAAAGTGTTTCTTGACCAAAATGATAAACATTCCAGATCATCTCAAATATTTAAACATTGTGTATTTATTTTATATAAAGTATAAAACACTTGACTTTTCATATTAATGACTGTGTATTTTACATTTCTTTATTCAGAAATACATGTAGGTTGAGATATTTTTTATTTCAAACAAGTAGCAACACATTTTTTAAAAGGCAAAAGTCTACTATATATAATTGCATTAGGTTTAAGCAACTAAAATCATGTGAAGTAAATGCCTACAAGAATATAAGTTAGTGAGTCAAGATCATCTGAGTTTTAATCCAGCATTGATTAGATATGGTCTGAAAATGGTTGTTCAGTGATCTGATATGAATTTTTATACGCCCGTTTGAAAAACGGGACGTATTATGGGAACGCCCCTGGCGGGCGGGCGGTCGGGCGGGCGGGCGGCGTCCAATTTTGTCCAGAGCATATCTCCTACATGTATGGAGGGATTTTAATGAAACTTCATAGAAATGTTCACCACTATGAGGAGCAGTGTCGCGCACATGAACCAGGTCTCTAGGTCAAAGGTCAAGGTCACACTTAGAGGTCATTGAAAAAATGCTTGTCCGGAGCAAAACTTCCACATGTATAGAGGGATTTCAATATTACTTGGCACAAAATGTTCACCATTGTGAGGCGCGGAGTGTCGCGTGCCAAGATTTCAGGTCCTTGCGGCCAAGGTCAAAGGTCACACATAGAGGTCAAAGTTCAGATAAAAATATGAAGATGTGTATATGGACCATTTAGCTCATCATTTATTGAGGGATTGTAAACGCAAATGGTCATTATCAAGACTATGGCTGTGGATACATATAATTTAGGTCAATATATACAAGGTCAAGGTCACTAAAGATGATGAAAATATCCCCAGATTTTGTAAATAGAATTTAATCAAAGGCGCGACAACAAAGTTATTACTTTGTTCATAAATGACCCTTACACAATTACTCCCCTTGATCTACTTTCACTTTCAATTCTAAAAAAATAGAATTTAATCAAAGGGCAATAAAATAATCCTTTTTCTTGGACTTGAGTATGTTCTAAAAGAATGTAACATTTATTTACACATGTTTCATTTTCATTGGTTCAAGATTCTTAACTGTGATAACTATTGGTGTTCTGTAGACTTGGTATTTTGTTCATAAAGATCATACAGTAATTACCTTATCAAATGTAAATACTTTCCCATAGAAATTTAATTTATATTTTAATTTTCAAGTAAATATCAGTTCAGCTCATTCAAAGATTAAGAATTGTAATGAAATGTAATTTCCCTAGAATAAAATCTTAAATCAGAATTTTTTAGTTATTTAAATTTACAATTACAACTGTACTTTTTATCTTCCCTACTGATTTGTTTTAAGGTTCATTTAACAACACAGTGCCAAGGATAAAAACTTGCTTGCTAGATAACACTTATCCATAATGCCCCCATCTCCATCTAAAGCTTTCGTAAACGGGCGTATTTTGTGACTATGGCACCCTTGTTTAAAGATATGATAAGATTGATCAGTGACATGTTATGATTGTTTAATAATCTGATATGATTGTTTAATGATCTGATATTATTGTTTAATGATCTGATATGATTGTTTAATGATCTGATATGATTGTTTAATAATTTGATATTATTGTTTAATAATCTGATATGATTGTTAAATAATCTGAAATGATTGTTTAATGATCTGATATGATTGTGTAATGATTTGATATGATTGTTTAATGATTTGATATGATTGTTTAATGATTTGATATGATTGTTTAATGATCTAATATGATTGTTTAATGATCTGATATGATTGTTTAATGATCTGATATGATGGTTAAATGATCTGATTTGACATGACTGTTGTATGATCTGATGAAATAGATATAACTTATACAATTGTTCAGAGAACTGTTTTGAATGTTTGTGGATCTGTTATCATTTTGTAATAATCTGAAACATAGTTTTAAAATCTGATATCATCATTTAATAGGTTGTTTTAATTGTTGCAGGATCTGATATGATTGTTTAATAACATAATTTTTATTATGATTGTTGAATAATCTGCTATGATTGCCTAATAGTGTTAATGATTATTAATTGATCTATCAATCTTGTTAGGTTTTTAAAATGATTTTTTTTATAAGTTTAGTCACTGTAACTAAAATATTTCTGATGAATCTTGATAAAGGATTTGTGTTTTACAGTAATTATACAGGTTTGATTATACTGGTAGGATTTTTTACAATGAAAAAGCTATCCTGTCCATTTTGCTAGCACTAAAACATAACTTACTTATTGTATTATATTTATTGTTGTATTTTTGTTTGTTTATATTTCTTTATTACTATCACTGTTTTTCACTTGTTATTTTTTTGATTGTTGTTTCTGTTCAATTTGAAATTCTATTGTTGTTGCAAGTATGATGCTTTTCATGTTAAATTTTAATTTAATAAGTATAATATATTGTAATCTACATGATTTTAATTAATTACCATTCAATAAACTATGCAAACTTTAGATAATCAGAAAATTTCCATGGAGACAGATATAGAAAATAAATATTTATAATTAATGAAGATATTTTGTAGTTATTGTTTAAGTTTTAAGATACTTATATTGTATCAATCAGGGTGAAAAAATGTGCCTGACTTTGTATTATCCTTGACAAAATAAGATTTAACTTAACAAAAAATAAATCATGTACCTGTAATGATAAGTGAGTTGCTTCCTTGTTTGTCATGATTTTAAGTTAATATTTCCACCCCCTTAGCTCAAAAACAAAAGGGAGATTCGGTAAACGGACAATTGCCCCCAGAACAGTTGCTCACCCTGTCTATATTAAGGTGTCACATCTGTTTTCTTTGTATAAGAGCTTAAGGGTTTCTGCCAAATAGATTGAACATTTTAAAACATACGAGGGGGGCAAATGTCCAACACAGCAAAAATTCTAATGGTCATTTGTCTCTCACTGCTTATTCTGTAATCATATGAAATTAATAGTTGGTAACTTAAGAAGAAAGTGGTTATTACTGGTTAGTTATCCAGGTACTTGTATGCCAGTTAGGTGGACCGACTGTAGAGATTTGACCAGAAATGGAAATTTGCATTCTTTGACTACCATGTGTATTCATACAGA